CAAGCCCAAAACAAGCAGAGCAAAGAAATAAATGCTAGAAACAGAGAATGGAAAGATAGAAAAAAAAGTGAAACCACAAGTTGGTTCTTGAAAGTGATTACTAAAAATGATAAACTCTTAACTAGACTTACCAAGAGAAAAAAGAGAAAAGACTCAAGTTATTTAAATGAGAAATGAAAGTTGAGACACTACTGGATTTATTCAAATAAAAATGATAAGGGAAATATTAGCAACTATATGTCAATAAATTAGATAATCTAGATGAGAGAGACAAATTGCTAGAAATGTACAACCACTAAAAATGACTCAAGAAGGAATAGAAAATTTGAATAGACCTATGACAAGTAAAGAGATTGAATGAGAAATCACAAAACACCCCACAAAGAAAAGTATATACCCAGATGGCTTAATTAGTGAGTCGTTCTAAACATTAAAAAATAAAATAACACCAGTCTTTCACAAATTCTTTCAAAAAAAAAAAGAAGGAATTTTCTAAGTTATTCTTTGAGTCAGTAGTACCTTGATGCCAAATCAAACAAAGACATTACAAAAAAAGAAAAAAAAAATACCAATATCCCTTATAACTACAATGCAAAAACCCTCAACAAAATATTACAAAGCCAAATGTGTCAACCCATGAAATGTATGGTGAACATATTGGTCATTGTGATGAATTGGGATTTGACCCACAAATGCAATGGTGGTTCAATATATAGAAACCAATCAATGTAGTTCCCCACCTCGAGAGAATAAAGAGGGAAGAAAACTCACATGGTCATTTCAACAAATGCAGGAAAAGTATTTGACAAAATTCCATATTCTTCCATGATAAAAAAAAATTTGAACAAACTAGGAATAAAAGGGAAATTCCTCATCCTGATAAATGCATCTACAAAAATCCCACATCATGCTTAATGGTGAAAGATTGAAAGGTTCCCCCAAAGATCAAAATAAGACAAGGATGTCTACTCTTGTCACTTTTATTCAACATGGTATTGGAAGTTCTAGATACATTGATTAGGCAAGGAAAAAAAAGTAAAGTGCATTCAGATTGGAAAGGAAGAAGTAAAACGATATTTGCAAATGATATCATTTTGTATATAGAAAATCCTAAGTAATTCACACACACACACAAAATTAGAGCTAATAAGTTCAGTTGGGTTACAGGATCAATAGACAAAAATCAATTGTATTTCTATACACTAGCAATAAACAATTGAAACATCAAAATTAATAAAATAATTTAATTTACAATAGCATAAAAAAGTCTAAAATGCTTAGGAATAAATTTAACAAAAGAAGAGCAAGTCTCTTCTTTTTTTTTCTAGTGGTGATGAGAGAAGAACAAGTCTTATATGCTGAAAACTGTTTTCTAAAGTTAAAGTGCACCTAAATAATTGGAAATATATCCCATATTTATGAACTAGAAGACTTAACATTGTTAAGATGGCAATACTCCCAAATTGTTCTACGAATTCAATGCAATGCAATCAAAATCTGAGCTACCCTTATTGAGGAAATTGATGAGCTGATTTTAAAATTCATATGGAAGTACAAGGGATCCAGAATAGTCAAAATAACCTTGAAAAATACAAAGTTGGAAGACTCACACTTCCCAATTTAAAAACTTACCACAAAACTATGGTAATCAAGTATCTGTTGTACTGTCATAAAGATAAACATATAGATCAATGAAAGCAAATAAGCGTCCACAATAAGCTCTTGCATTTATGATCAGTTGAGTTTGTTTTTTTTTTTTGATAAAGGTGCCAAGATCTTTTCAAAAAATGGTGCTGGGACAACTGGATATCACAGGCAAAACAATGAAGTTGGGCCCCCTACCTACGGTATTTACAAAAATTAACTCAAAACAGACCAAAGAATTAAATGTAAGAGCTAACACTATAAGACTCTTAGAAACATCGGTATAAATCTTTGTGATCTTATATTAGGAAATGGATTCTTAGATCTGATACCCAAAACACACAAACAGCCAAATAAAAAAATTGATAATCTAGACTTCTTTAAAAAGGATACTGTCAAAGAAGTGAAAAGGCAACCCACAGAACAAGAGAAAATACTTGCAAATCATATATTTGGTAAGGGTCTAGTATCTAGAATATATAAATAATTCTTACAACTCAATAAAAAGACAAATTACTTGACCTTCAAAGGTTCAACTTGAGAAAGCTGATTTGTTAAAAAACAGGCAGAGTTTGAAGACATTTCTCCAAAAAAGAGATGCAAATTGCTAATAAGCACACAAAAAGATGATTATCATTATTAGTCACTAGAAAAAAACATGAAAATCACAACAGGTCGGGCTCAGTGGCTCTGCCTGTAATCCTATGCTTTGGGAGGTCGAAGTGAGTAGATGGCCTGAGCCCGTGGGTTCGAGACCCGCCTGGGCAACTTGGCGAGACCTCATCTCTACAATAAATTAAAAAATTAGCCGGGTGTGGTAGCGCGCACCTGTAGTTCCAGCTACTCGGAAGGCTGAGGCGGAAAGATCGCCGGAGCCCAGCAGGTCGAGGCTGCGGTGGCCGGGAGCGGCCACTGCACTCCAGTCTGGGCGACAGTGAGACTCCAACTCAAAAAAAAAAAAGAAAAGCCCTGCCCAGATAATCCAGGACAATCTCCCCATCTCAAAATTGTAACATAATCACATCTGCAAAGTCCCTTTTGTCATAAGGTAACATTCACAGGTTCAGGACATCAGATGTTGACATTTTAGGGGGCTATTATTCAGCCTACCACAAAAAGTTATGGAGTTAGCCGGACTCGGTGACTCAGCCTGTAATTCCAGTGCTTTGGGAGGCTGAGGTGAGTAGATTGCCTGAGCCCACGGGTTCGAGACTCGCCTGGGCAACTTGGTGAGACCTCATCTCTACAATAAAATCAAAAAAATTAGCCGGGTGTGGTAGTACACGCCTGCAGTTCCAGCTACTTGGAAGGCTGAGGCCGAAGGATCGCCGAAGCCTAGCAGGTTGAGACTACGGTGGCTGGGAGCGTGCCACTGCACTCCAGTCTGGGTGACAGAGTGAGACTCCAACTCAAAACAAACAAACAAAAAAGAGTTATGGAGTTAATATATAACCCAGCAATTCTACTCCAAGAGTTCCAATGGAACTGAAAACATATGTCCACACACAAACCTGTACACAATGTTAATAACAGCATTAACCATAACAGCCAAAAAGTGGAAACAACCCAGATGTCCACCAGCTAATGAATGACACATAAAATTTGTCATATCCATTCAATGGAATATTATCCAGTCAAAAATGAAAGACGTTCTGATCCATGCAACAACATGGATGAACCTTGAAAACATCATGCTGAGTGCAAGAAGGTAACATAAAAGTTGCATATTGTATAACCTATTTGCATAAAATGTCTAGGAAAGGTAAATCCATAGAGACAGAAAGTAAATTAGTGTTTGCCAGAGGCTGCAGAGAATGAGGAAGGGGGAGCCACTGCTTAGTGGGTATGGATTTTTATTTGCAGTGATAAATAAGTTCTGAAATTAGTCGTGGTGATGGTTGTACAACCTTATGAACATACTATAAACCACTGATTATATACTTTTAAAGGGTGAATTCTGAAGTATGTGAATTATATCTTAATTTTTTAAAATGCTAATCTAGGATAAAAAGGAAAACAACTTTTTTCCATCATTTTATTTCATACCTTCCTTGGGGGGCAGAATCTGGGGAATACTCTAGACAAATGAAACTAACTAGAGGTGTGGTTCAGACTCCTATGGCGATTCAGAGAATGACTGTACCCATTTCATTTGGTGAGTGGTTTCACTTGGCAAAATTGAACCAGTCTCTGCCCTCTAAGAGCTCTCAGTCTAGCAGGGCACCAAGGGTGCATGTAGTTAAGGTAGGACACAGACAGTATTTGCAGATACATTATTGATGATCTAAGAAGGAAAACTTTCTGGTCAGGGCATTCGGGATTCACACACACAGAATGGACCTCGAAGTCAACTCAGGATCTGCATTTGGTGAGCTCGGGATAGATGGAGAAGGGAAGACAGAGGACAGCATTCAAAGTCTCAGGAAAGACTTCCTGTCCAGAGACTAGATGTCTTTACAGAGAAACAACCTTCACAAACCCTTATTTCCTGAGCTCCCAGGCTTAGGGGTAGGCAAGTGAATTTTTCAATTAGAAATAGCACCTTCTCGGCTGGGCATGGTGGCCCACACCTATAATCCCAGCACTTTGGGGGGGCTGAGGCAAGATGATTGCTTGACTCAGGGGTTCAACACCAACCTGAGCAACATGGTGAGACCTCGGCTCTACAATAAAAAAAATTTGCCAGGCATGGTGGCGTGTGCCTGTGGTTCCAGCTTCTTGGAAGGCTGAGGCAATAGGATCACCTGAGCCCAGCAGGTCATGGCTGCAGTGACCCTGAGTGTGCCACTGCACTCTAGCCTGGGCAACTCAAACAACAACAACAACAACAACAAAAAGAAATAGTACCTTCTTCCTCCCCAAAGGCTCGCAGTCACAAGAGTAGTGACCCTTAGCCTTTTGACAAAGGCAGTTTAGCTTAAAACATGATCTCAGCCGGGCTCGGTGGCTCAGCCTGTAATCCCGCGCCTTTGGGAGGCTGAGGTGAGTGGATTGCCTGAGCCCGCGGGTTCGAGACCTGCCTGGGCAGCGAGACCTCATCTCTACAATAAATCAAAAAATCAGCCGGGCATGGTAGTGCATGCCTGTAGTTCCAGCTACTCGGAAGGCTGAGGCGGAAGGATAGCCGGAGCCCAGCAGGTCGAGGCTGCGGTGGCCAGAGCAGCCACTGCAGTCCAGTCTGGGCGACAGAGTGAGACTCCAACTCAAAAAAAAAAAAAAAAAATTATCTCTTCACTCGTTTATTTAAAGACCTAAATTAGAGTTCGCAAGTTCTGAATCTATGAAACATTTTCAAGCCAGAGACATTTGCTAAGAATGTATTTTGTACACAACCACTCTAAATGCTATGCATTGACCAATATCCCTTTGGCTAGTTTTTCAGAAGCTGAGTCAGGGGAGAAATCATTGATTAGCCTTCTCTTTAAGGTCTACTCATCTTTCTTGGCCTTCCAGAGCTCCAGGCTGATCACAATCTACTGTTGCCGCCTCAGCTAGTGAGAAAAGGAAATAATTGAAGCACTTAGAACACTTAGCATCCTACCTTAAACTACTACGTTTAGCCTTTTGAACATGCATCTGATTTCATTTTCACAGATGTGATCAGCTGGAAGAGTTAAGATCACATAGTAAATCATCGCATCTCTGCTTAGCTCTTCTGCTTTCTCCTACTACACCACATCTAGAAAATGATTCAATTTTCCTCTCAAAGTAAAGGACGGTCATACACAACCTCAAAAGGCCAGGATTCTCGGCTGTAAAGACGTCTCAGCAAAGCATCACTTTGCCCTGAGTCTGAGCACATCTCCATTGATGCTGATGAGTTCCTGAAGAGCATGCCTGCTTCCTGGATGGGCTTCCACTGATGGCACTGGGGGCTACAAGGGAGTTGTCCATGCCTAGGCTCCGTGACCATTTACACTGTTAATGAAATCAGTCTATAGGTCATTCATACTTTTATTCTCAAGTTTGACTTGGACAACAGACTGAGAGAAATTTTTTAAAAAGAAGAAGAAGAAGGTGCAGTAGCTTGCACCTGCAATTCCAGCACTTTGAGAGGCCAAGGTAGGGAGATCACATGACACCAGGAATTTGAGACCAACTTGGGCAACATAGTGAGATCCTATCTTCTACAAAAAAGAAAAAAACTTACCCAGGTGTGGTGAAACACCTATAGTCCCAGCTACTCAGGAAGCTGAGGCAGGAGAATCATTTGAGTCCAAGAGTTCAAGCCTGCAGTGAGCTATGATCACACCACTGCACTCCTGCCTGGGCGACAGAGCAAGACCCTGTCTCTAAAATAAAACAAAAACAAACAACAACAACAAAACTCTCTCCTTATATTAGTCAGTAACTCACAGACTTTATAGTATTGAGAATCCTGGAGAAATGATCCAATCTTCCTGGATGGATGAAAATTTACAGTGAAGACTTTTAAAGTAGTCATTAAAGGAAGTCACTATATATTAAGTACTTCTGATTCCTTAAATAAGTTACTTGCTTGGAAAAGGATCATCATAGAGTAGGGTGGCAAGGCAGGATCATCTTTGGGGTCTACTAAGCTAGTTGTACTGTTGCCCTGTCACTAAACGGGCCCTCTCTGTAGTGGGTTTTGTACCTTTCTCATCCACTGGCCCTTCCTGCTATTGTCCACACAGAGGGTTAAATTCCTTTGTTCTCATTGGTTTCCTTTAACCTGCGGTGGTCTTGGAATCTAGGCAGCCACGCTTGTTGGAACAGGTTACTGTAAGAGGGATTTGGCTGCAGATGGTGTCCTAACCAGGCTACTTGACCATGTGCTTTCCTCTCCTAAGCTGCCTTTCAGATTTCCAAGGCGGAGCTAACCTTATAGGATAGGTCAGCAAAAATACAGAGATGTAGGACATGGAACTACAGCCAGACAACTACACGACCAGAGAAGCTGAATGAGAGTTAGAATCGAGGCCAGGCACAATGGCTCAGGCCTGTAATCTCAGCACTTTGGGAGACTGAGGTCGGAGGATCACTTGAGGCCAGGAGTGTGAGAGTTAGAATCCACACAGTCCTTAGGCTCTCCATACCTGGCCGTTATGCTCATCCTAGCAGCAAGGAGGACAGTCTGGACTTCTCAGTTCCACACCCTACTTCTTTCGGCAAGGCAGGCTTGTCGGGCCTACCTGTATGCCAACATTTTAGCTCCTTGGTAAGCCTCCATGACACAGCAGCTGTAGTTAAGCATCTATGCGCCTGGCCCATGGGGCTGCCATCCAGCTCCTCAGAGGTAGAGAACAGTCCCATGTTATAGATGAAGAAACTGGAGCTCTGAAATAAACTGGTGGCAAAGTCCCATGGAAATTGTGATTTGAGTCGGGCTTGGTGGTTCAGCCTGTAATCCCTTGCTTGGGGAGGCTGAGGTGAGTGGATTGCCTGAGCCTGCGGGTTCGAGACCCGCCTGGGCAACTTGGCGAGACCTCATCTCTACAATAAAATCAAAAATTTGCTGGGCGTGGTAGTGCACACCTGTAGTTCCAGCTACTTGGAAGGCTGAGGCAGAAGGATCGCCGGAGCCCAGCAGGTCGAGGCTGTGGCCACTGCACTCCAGTCTGGGCAAAAGTGAGACTCCAACTCAAAAAAAAAAAAAAAGAAAGAAATTGTGATTTGAGCCCACAGTTGTCTGACTTCTAAGTCCATGTGCTTTTATCCTCCATCAGTATTTTATGATGGAAATTACAAACATACAGAAATAAAGAACTATCCAGTGAACACCCATGCACCTATGTAAATGAATATTTTGCTATATTTACTTTATCACTCCATCTTCTCTGCCCCAATTTTGATGCATTTCAACCATGTGTGTACCACACTGGTCCTTGATAGAATGAGGTCCCTGCTTCGTACTCACAGGTGTGTCTTTGCCTTGGTACTTAAATGTTCTCAGCCTCTCTTCTGGAGCATCTAAGGTAGGCATATTGACTGGAAGAAATAAATCACTTTCTGGTTGGACAACATGAGATTTTTCAGTGCCCAGTCTGTGGGTTAGTATGTTAAAATCACGGGGCTCTAAGTCCTTAAAGGGCGCACAGTGGATCTGAGAGTAGACCCAGAAAGTAAACTTCCATTAGCATCACCACACCAGTTCCGTTGGCTGTGAGCACCATGAAAGCAGCAAGAGGACCGCTGAAGTCCTGAAAGGGAAACCTCTGAAAGGTCATGTGGGCCAGGCAGGCGTGGTGGCTCATGTCTGCAATCCCAGGTCTTTGAGAGGCTGAGGTGGGAGGATTGCTTAAGGCCAGGAGTTCAAGACCAGCCCGAGCAACAAAATGAGACCTCGTCTCTACAAAAAATAGAAAAATTAGCTGGGCATGGTGGTACACTCCTGTAGTCCCAGTTACTTAGGAGGCCAAGGCAGGAAAATCGCTTGAGCCTGGGAGGTCAAGCCTGCAGTAAGCTGAGACTGCCACTGCACTCCACGCCAGCCTGGGTAACAGAGTGAAACCCTGTCTCAAAAAAAAAAAAAAAAAAGGTCGGGGGAGGGGCTGGTCCAGTGGCTCACACCTCTAATCTCAGCACTTTGGGAGCCCAAGGGTTCGAGATCAACCTGGGCAACTTGGCGAGACCTTGTCACTACAATAAATCAAAAAGTTAGCCGGGCAGGATCGAACCTGTAGTTCCAGCTACTTGGAAGGCTGAGGCAAAAGGATCCCCTGAGTCCAGCAGTTCGAAGCTGTGGTAGCCATTAAGTGTGCCACTGGGTAACAGAGTAAGACTCTGACTCAAAAATTAAAAAATGGGAGCCGGGCTCGGTGGCTCAGCCTGTAATCCCGCGCCTTTGGGAGGCTGAGGTGAGTGAATTGCCTGAGCCTGTGGGTTCGAGACCCGCCTGGGCAGTAAGACCTCATCTCTACAATAAATCAAAAAATCAGCTGGGTGTGGAGGCGCATGCCTGTAATTCCGGTTACTCGGAAGGCTGAGGCGGAAGGATCGCTGGAGCCCAGCAGGCCGAGGCTGCGGTGGCCGGGAGCGGCCACTGCATTCCAGTCTGGACGACAGAGTGAGACTCCAACTCAAAAAAAAAAAATTAAAAAATGGTAGATTGGCTTGAACTGGGCCTTTGATGACTAGGATAGGCTGGTTGTCAGACATGGAAGCATTTCACATGGCAGGGTCCAAGGAGCTCTGTACAGGGCATATGTGCAAGGTGGTGAGGAGCCCTGATAGGCTCTGACAGGACGATGCCCTGTCCTCCCATACCCAATTCACCAGCACGTTGGGCCAGAACAGTCTCAAGCACAACCCACTGCTAATTCTTTGGTAGACTGTCTCCACCAGGGTCCACGCCTCCACCGTCTTTTGCCCACATGACCACAGTTGCCTCCCAACTGGTCTCCCTGCTTCTACTAATTCTAATTCCAATCTGTTCTAAATTGATTATGTTAACTCCCCTGCTTAAAAACCCTCTCTTGGCTACCCGTTGAGCTTAGAAGAAAATTCAAACTCCCTACACTGCCCTTTCATGAGCTGATCCCAGCCCACCTCATCTCCAACAACTCTTCCCTTGATCGCTGTGCTCTAGGCCCTTGGCTTCATTGTCAAGTATTCTAGGCTCACCCCTACTTGGAGCCTTTGAACAAAGGGCTCGTCTCAGAATCTTGACATAGCCAGCTCCTATTCATTCAGTCTTAGCTTGGTCACCTCTGAAATCCTTTTCTAAGTATCTTCCCAGTCTGTTTTATTTTCTTCTCAGCTTTAACCACCACCTGATATTTTCTTGTGTTTTCATCTTCCTCCCCTTACTCTCAACAACAATGGGACCATGTGTGTCTTAGGTACTGTTTCTCAGCTCCTTCACAATGATTGGCATGTAGTAGATACTCAACTACTTGTTAAAAGAGGGTGGAAGGTGATAAGGAGCAAAGGAAGTTGGTCCTCAACCAGAGGAAGTTATCCAAATTAGGCCAGGTTTGAACTTTCTGCAAGACAGCAGGGACTATTTCTTACAGGTGTGCAAAGAATACCCATCTGTTTCTGAGCATACAAGATGGTCCAGACTATAATAAAGAAAAAACTGGATAAATAAGGCCGATACACTCTAGTCTTGAGTGGATAATAGTTGAGAATAATTTTGATAGGAAAGACTAAATTAAACACATCAATTTGGGAAGGGAAGCATAGACATCTTAGAGAATTCCATGAGTTTAGAGCAAAGACTGATGTTGTAAGAAGAGAGACAATGTCTACATGAGTTCAGAACATGAATTGGAGACTTGGTGGTGCTCACATTAGGGCCCAAGAGAATGAAGAACCTGCAACGAACCAGAAAAACAAAGGGTATTTGAGATAGAATGATAACACTACTAAAATAGCAGCAACCACATCAGGGACAAGTCCCTAAACTGGAGTGCCACCAGCCAGCCTCAGAAAGACAGAAGCTGCAGGCTAGTGTGTTAGCTGAGTCTCAGAGCAGAGGCAGATCAGCAGCCCACATGGTCCTCAGGAGCTTGGCCAAGAAGAGCCTAACCCTAGCACTTTTGGAGGCCAAGGGGGGAAGATCTCTTGAGCCCAGGAGTTCAAGACCAGCCCAGGCAGCAAAGTGAGACCTTGTCTCTACAAAACACACACACACACACACACACACACACACACACACACACACACAAATTACCCCAAAGCAAAGTGGTACACACCTATAGTCCCAGTTTCTTAGGAGGCTGAGGCAGGAGGATCACTTGAGCCCAGACAGTTGATGCTGCAGTGAGCTATGATTGTAACACCCACTGCACTCTGGCATGGGCAACACAGTGAGACCCTGTCTCTACAAAAGAAATAAGAAAGGAAAAAAGAAAAAAAAAGAATAGCCTACACCTTAATACCCCACTCACAACCCTAGACGGATCATCAGGACAAAAAATCAGCAAGGAGATCTGGAACCTCAATATGACTCTGGACCAAATGGACTTAATTGATACCTACAGAACACTCCATCCAAAGACCACAGAATACACATTCTACTCATCACCACATGGAACATATTCTAAGATCAACTACATAAATGACCATAAATCAAGCATAAGCAAATTTAAAAGGACTGAAATTCTACCATGCACCTTCTCGGGCCACAGTGGAATAAAAATAAACATTGACACCAACAAAGTCCCCCCAAAACCCATAAAGACATGGACACTAAACAGCATGATGCTAAACAACTCCTGGGTCAATGAAGAAATCAAAACAGGGATCAAAAGGTACCTGGAAACAAATGAAAATGAAGAAACATCTTACCAAAATCTCTGGGATGCCTTAAAAGCTGTAGTAAGAGGGAAATTTATATCG